GACGCAAAATGTTTACAAACATTATAATAAACACTGTAAACATAGCTAGGCTATTTGAGTTCCCATCACTCCACAACTAAGCCTTTCAATTAACAGTATTTAGAAAAGAACAAGAATTAAAAATATTATAGCAGTATAAGCTATAGCATTATAAATGACAAGCCAAAATGAATTAATTTAGGCTAAAACAAAACTGAAACCAACGTTGGGTCTCTCATTCGACACAAAATCAAATGTTTCTGTATTCGCGATGTACTTGAATGCCAAATTATTATTTATTATGTAGCCTCTGTGCGCGCATGCGGCGCCGGCGCATTGGGAATTGTAAAAGGTTTGCCTTTATTTGTGTACATTCACAATAAAAACAAATCTTTGTGCCTTTGTAAAGTAAGCCTAAAGAAAAATAGGGTGCCGCTTTCTGTCGTCTGTTTTCGTTCGCTCAGCACAAAAATAAACCAAAACTCTGCATACTAGGCTACTTGTTGCACAGTTTTTCCTTCATTTTCTTAATTTATTATTTAAGTAAAAATATATTTCTCGCATAGGCCTATTTATTCGTTTTATATATATATATATATATATTATATATAGCCTAGCTTTATTATGTTTTTCTCCGCTCGCAGAAGCGCTGCAGGTGCATGATGTGATATGATGACTATGTGAATCCTCATGTTCTGTTGTTTGTTGCTTTTTGCGCATGTAAAATGAATCCCCGGGAAACAAATGTTAGTATTTTTAACGGCTCACAGACACTTATCCTTTCTAATTTATTTCAATTCTAATTTAAAATAATCTTGTCGGTTAACGGTTAATAATCGGTTAACGAGCGTCGGTTGTCGGTTAGGAAAAATAACCGAAATGAACATCCCTAGAACTAACCCATTAACATGCACTTTCAAATAAGCCCAGGGTTTTTTCTTGAACCGGTGGTGTGCGATTTCTTCCAATCTCTTGATCAGTGTAGCCCATCAGTAAAGCTCCCAGCATCCTTCAGGCTTTGAGGATTTAGGTCACCTTCTCTGGAGTCAACAGCTCTATCTGTGCAGGACGGATTTCCATGGGTGCAAAATCCCATATCCTTTCATTATACCGTACGCTTCTAGCTCTATTTACATTTTTAAAGAGGTTTTATCTTCAACTACGAGTATCGACAATTTCACAGCATGGAATAAAAATAGAAACTTTCCCTCCATGCAGGCTTGTCGTTTTTCCCACAGACCAAAAGCAAAACTTAAGAGAGGATGCAAAGCATTAAAAACCGAGATGCAAGGAAATGTCGGGAAAAAAAAAAGAAGGGGAGCAGATTTCCAATACTTGTCCCGTTCTCATGTCGAGCTGACAGCCGGCAACTAGAGGAAGCACACGTCTCCGTTTGTTTGGTTGCCAGGGCAACCGTAGACTAACCCTCACCCCCCAGGACGGCTGTCGAGTTCGCCAAACATGTCACGTCTGTCAGCGGAAAATAGGTCGCCGTTTCCACAGCCTGCCCCCAACCCAGAATAATGGGTGGGGAAGAGAATACCAAGGAGATGTTGCTTAAACCCTACATCCTAAATACTTAGGGATTTCTGTTCGCCATCTGGGTTTTCATAAGTGCTTTTGAACTCAAGTTATAAGTTAGTAAAACTAGGATTCCCATAATGCACATCACAGGGATTCAGTTGCCTCCTTGTTGGCAGGGAAAACAGTTGAAATGTCGCCATTGTTGAAAGGTTATTGAGCTATTTGGTAGTTTTGTTATTTTTGTTGAATGTCAGGACCAACATAATGTCAAAATCATTTAATGATGAAAGATTGACAGGACTAAAAACCTCCCAGGGCTGCATGCTGAACTGAAAGATAACTGCTAATGTGCATAATGAAGAATAACACAGAGAATCAAGCTGAAGAAAAACTTGCTGATAACCAAAATGCCAGCAGAGATTCACATTTACATTCATGCATTTAGCAGAAGCTTCTATACAGAGCAACTTATGATAGAGGAGCATAAGCGATAAGGTAAAAACGTTAACCTAGATGTGAGGAGACTTACAAAATGAAATCGGGCAAAGATACGCTAGAGATTTAGGTCAAAACATCAGTTTTGGGAGATGTTTTCTGTAGAAATTGATTAAAAGAAAGGCAAAAGAAACGGACTTCAGGAAATGTAGTCTTGTAAAGAGAAGAGTGCACAAACATGGTGCGAAACTCTTGAATGAAGTGAGCTCAAAGCTTTTTCACCCTAGTGGAAAATAAATATACTAAAATGTATTTGAAAATACTTTTATTTTGTGCTAAGTATACTACAAATACATTTACATATTTATGTACTTATTAAAATTTTAATTGTGTGGAAGTAGTGCTGAGGTCCAACTAAAGATAAACTGAAGTATATTTGATTGTGCTAAAGTGGAAGTATAACTCAGGTACACATTAAATATCTTTAATTTAAAGACTGATATTATTCAGATTTCACACAATTCTTATTACTAGTGATAGTAAAACACATTTTAGGCTTCGTTTTAAGAAATGTGGATTGTGCACAAGTAGTACTCCAAATAAAGTTTAATTATTTTTATATCAGTAAGTCTCAAGCGATATGTCAGTAAATATGTTAATATATTTGAACTATACTTGGTATTAAATAAATGTATTACTTTTTTTAAGGGTAGTCATTTAATCCTGGTTAATTAGGTGACCTGCTCATTAATAATCTGATGGCTTTATCAGTGTATAAAGGCTGTATGTTCTTCTAAAGCATACAAATCTATGTGTACTGTTAAAATCAATTTGTGATGGGTAGCGAAGTCATAGTCACCAAAGTAGTATTAGTACATTTTCAAACCATTTTTTTAAATGATCATTTTCATTATTTATTTATTTGTGCTTAAAGGTCAAGGTTGTATAACTGTCTTGAGATGGTAAAATACAGAAGTTAAGTAGCCATAATTAAGTAGCAAAATTTGTAGAAATTAAGTAGCCGTGATCTTGTATTCTTATTTCTTGTGTTCTTACTTCAGTGGAGTGGTTTTGCTTTAAACTATTAATATTTTAGAAAAATAAATTAAAACCCCAAAGAAAATTGATATTCAGAGTAATAGTCTTTATTTAATTATTTAATTCACAAGTATATGTGTATGTGTGTACTTTGACACATCTTTTTACTTGAATATTTCGCTACATTTTCAGACGTGTTAAATCAAGAATTTTGGTCAAAAGGGTTTTTCAAAATAAATTCAAAGATTACATTTGTAAAAGCTTGCCACATATGCTTTAAATTAGATTTACAAGGAAAATATATTCATTATATTGGACGTCTGTTTGTTGTTAACCCATTTACCAAATCAGTGTTGTTGGTATTTCCTGAGAAAGTTCAGAAACAATCACTGAGGTTTGATGAAGGGTTATCAGAGAAACCTGAAATGCACTAAACCATAATTATCTGTTGTCAAGTGTTGACAGCGCAGGTTTCGGTTTATTGTCTTGGCTTTTGTTTTGTCCTGTCGTCTTTTGGTCTGGTTGAGTAACTTGTTGCTACAAGCTCTTGACTGATATAAGTAAAATTTGGCGTAAAGACTATCCGAAGTATTGTGTATAAGGGCTGTTGTGAGCTCAGACTTCAGAGCTGTTTTTTTTGGCTCTGTAGGCAGTTGATAAATGTTCTCCAGATCAGAGAGAAGAACTCGTGATTGTTTGGGTTTGGTTGGACTCATTCTGGTGAGAGCATCCACACAGTCATTGGCATTCTGTCGTCTTGTTTCTTTCATCCTGCTCCTTTTTCTGCCCTTTCTCCCTCTACTCCTCTACCTCTTCGATTGGTTTTCCGTCCAAACAAGATCTGTTGCCCAGGGATTCTGTCCCGTTGGCAGGCTGACAGAACGTTCAGACTTTGCTTGGACATTTTTTTGACAGCCTAGCTCCTTTTGATGTCCAGTTCTGGAGGTGTTTCTGTTCCCCCAGAATTTAAGGGAATCATTTGTTTTGTCTAACGCCATGCCAAAACTTTCAGACAAACCAGCTGACTTTTATGTAGGACTTGATGAAATGCATACGGTAATGAGAGAACAAGAGAACTCTTGAGAAGTTCTTTAACTTCTTTGTTAGGTTTGCTGAAGGTCTGAGAAGATTTCAGGTGTTTTCACCCTGTTTAAAAGAACCAAACAAAATTAGACAAGTGTTAATGGAGTGAAAACAAACCCAGTTCTCTTTGCACTCTTACTACTTCCTGTTCTTCATATTTTGTTTCTTCCTACTTATGATTTTCATCTTAATCTACTTCCTTTGTCACCTTTTTCGTCTTCGCACTCTTACTCCTGGTCATTGCTGCCCTCTTCCTCGCCGCCACCTTCATTGTTTTCAGTCTACTTCGACATCTTGCTCTTCTTTATCTTCTTCTACCTCCTCCTTTCTATTGACGTCCTCTTCATTGTCTTGTTACTCTTCATCATCTTTTTCCTCTTGCTCTTTTTCTTTTTCATCTACTTCCTCCTCCTCTGTCATCATCTTGCTTTTCTTTTTAATCTTCCTCTTTTGCTTCTTCATTGTCTTCCTCTTTTTCTTCTTCCTCATTTTCATCTACGTCCTCTACCTCTTCATCTACTTCAACCTCCTCTTTGTCATTCTTTCACTTCTTTGTCATCTTCCTCTTCCACATCTTCTTCCTCGCCTTTTCCTCTTCTATTTCCTTTTCCTCATCTGTCATTTTGACCTACTTTGTCGTCTTCCACTTTTTCTTCTTTGTCATTTTCATTTACTTCATTTTCCTCTGTCATCTTCTTGCCCTTCTTCCTCCTCTTAGTCTGCCATCTTCCTCTTTTTTTTCCCCTCATCTTTGTTGTCTTTCTCTTTTATCTTCTATCTTTTCCTGTTCGCCCCTCTTTTCTCTTATTTGTCATAATTTTCTTACTCTTTCTTGTCATCTTGCGCTACTTTGTCGTCTTTCTCTGCTCTTCCTCTTCTTTTTTTTCTCCTCTTCTTCTTCCTCTTTGGTATTTATTTTTCATCTTACTGAAGAGTTACTCGTCTTCATAATCATCTTCAATGTTTTTGCCTTCCTTGTTATCCTCTTTGTCTTCTTCTGTGTCATTTTTCTGGCATCATTTTTACCGTCTTCATTGTTTTTTAATAAAGTCCTCATTGCTCTACTTAAAACAGTTCTTCTCCTCTGAGCCGCTGTGTGTAATCATGGTTCATAAAACATGTTTTACACAAACACCATGGGCTTTCGAGACCGATATGGTCTGAGTTTGAGACATGATAGAAAATGTAGAAATCCGACTTGAAGTGACGTCTCTTGTTATTTCTTCAGGTATATCGGGAAGTCGGACTCCATCACCATCAGCGTGTGGAACCATAAGAAGATCCATAAGAAACAGGGAGCGGGATTCCTGGGATGCGTACGACTCCTCTCCAACTCTATTAACCGACTCAAGGACACAGGCTGTAAGTGTAGGTGTATATTTGTGTGTGATTGGCTCAGAAACAGTCTGTTAGTGTGTGTGTAATTAACTCAGAAAACACAGGTCTAACTTGTGTGTAAAACTGGCTCCGGCAGATTTCAAGTGTACTTGTGTGTGTATAATTGGCTCAGAGAGGTTATATGTACTGTATGTACTACAATGGCTGTGTGTGTTAAATGGACAACCTTTAAATAAAACACAACAACAGTGTTTTTGAACATAATAATATATGTATCTTTGGCTGAAGACCACTGTCTGCCTCAGGTAAAAGACGTCCTGTTATTTGTGCATCACTTTCCTGTCAGCTACACAAGAACCAGTGTTTTTTGGTGGTGAACTAAGTCAGTATGTTTAGGGTACGAGTCTGTCTGGCTGCGTTCCAGCCCCACGCTTGTGTTTAAGAGGATTTTAAAAGCAGGCTTTCCCTAGAAACCCTCCAGCGTGACCACTGTCCTGGATAAGCACAGGAAACCCACAGCCGCTCCCACAGCTGGAAGTGATTCAGTTCACCATTTCCTGTTGCACCCCTTCTGTCTCTCTGCCATCATTCTTTCTCTGTCTTTTCTCATTCTCTCTCATTCTCTGTCTCCCGTTCAGTCTGTCAGTAACAATCAGTGTCTTAAATAGGAAATTATTTATTTAATATAAATAATTTTGGTCTCATCTCATGCCAATATTAGCTTCTTCTTTTTTTATTAATATAAATTCACAAATATATCAAATCTTGCTCTTCCTCTTCATTTTGCTTGCTCATGTCCACTTCCTATTTGTCGTCGTCTTCCTCTTTTTCTTTTTCTTGCTCTTCCTCTTGTTATAAGTGTCTATATATTTCTATATGTATTTTAAATGGGAAAAAAAACATACAGGGTTTCCCATGTGAGACTTTAGTCTTTGCAACTTTACAGATCTTCTTTATGCACCAAGAGCTTGTAACACTCCAAAGAGAAAGGAAAATTGAAATCGCATCATATGACCCCTTTAAATCATCTACGCAGTGCATATGAAGGGGTTTAAATGTGAGTCGAGTGTGCTGGGATGGGTGAACGCTCCTCCAGCCCTGTTTAGTCTAGCTGTGCATCCTGATCTGTGTGTGTGAGAGTGAGAACAGATAGTGGCCTCTCTAATGTCTGCAGGCTACTTGTTATTCCTGCCTCCTTCTTTCCGGCAATGACAGAGAGCCCCAGCGTGTTTCTGGAAGCGTCTCACTCCTATCAGCACATCTACAGTCTGAGAGGAATAAAGCAGCCTCTTCCTCTTGTTATAAGTGTCTATATATTTCTATATGTATTTTAAATGGGAAAAAAAACATACAGGGTTTCCCATGCATTGATTTATTTGTGGCGGCCCGCCACAATATCAACACTGACCGCCATCAACACTGACCGCCACAAATAGATTTTCCAAAAGGCTTTGACTTCGTTGAATAAACATGAGCACTGCACGTTACAAAGTCAAAATGCGGCACGGGTGTTTTTATATAAATGTATCTTTTTTGAAGGGAACCGATTGTCTTCAGAAAAGTTCTGATGCCATTTTCATTTAATATTTCCTGTAATGCCTGATAAAGCAGCGTTTATGAGCTGCTTTGTTTACAGCCGTTACCGGGGAAACCACTAATTCTGCCGCTCTTAAAGCGCCTCCTGCTGGCAGAGAGTGAATTTGCACTTTCAATAAGCCCTTCTGCTGTTTTATATTTACATTATATACATATATATTTCCCCCAGGCGAAAAACATTTTGTAATCATTTTTGAATTGCCATTGTTCCCTATCAGTGTATCCCTAGTCTTTAGTAAAAGTTACATTCAGCCATAAAACCATCGTCATCATTCTTCGCAGGTGTTTGACCATATGAAGGAGTTTAAATGTGAGTGGAGTGTGTTAGGATGGGTGAACGCTCCTCCAGCCCTGTTTAGTCTAGCTGTGCATCCTGATCTGTGTGTGTGAGAGTGAGAACAGATAGTGGCCTCTCTAATGTCTGCAGGCTACTTGTTATTCCTGCCTCCTTCTTTCCGGCAATGACAGAGAGCCCCAGCGTGTTTCTGGAAGCGTCTCACTCCTATCAGCACATCTACAGTCTGAGAGGAATAAAGCAGCCTCTGTGTACACACCCACACACACACACACAGTGCGCTACAGTGTATGTGACCTAACGCATGAAATGTGGAGCGTTTTAGGCTGTTTTTTAAGTGTCAGATGGTTCACCGAGTGAGGAGGTCAGAGGTTATGACTAGGGATGCACCGATACCGATACTGGTATCGGTATCGGGCCCGATACTGGCCTCCTGTACTCGTACTCGTACTCGTTAAAATGCCCTTCGTTGAATAAACATGAGCACTGCACGTTACAAAGTCAAAATGCGGCACGGGTGTTTTTATATAAATGTATCTTTTTTGAAGGGAACCGATTGTCTTCAGAAAAGTTCTGATGCCATTTTCATTTAATATTTCCTGTAATGCCTGATAAAGCAGCGTTTATGAGCTGCTTTGTTTACAGCCGTTACCGGGGAAACCACTAATTCTGCCGCTCTTAAAGCGCCTCCTGCTGGCAGAGAGTGAATTTGCACTTTCAATAAGCCCTTCTGCTGTTTTATATTTACATTATATACATATATATTTCCCCCAGGCGAAGTGCCGCCACACATCGAGTGTAAGTCTGTGGGAAACACTGATGTATATCATTTCTTTAAGTTTCGATGATGTCTATATCTGTTTCAGCTAATGTTCTTTATTTTTCTAATTACAAAAAATAAAAAAATATATAGCTGTAGCGGATAGCAATATCTGTTTAATCCAGTATTACTTGTTATTTGTTGCTATAATTACAGTAGCTTTACAAAAATATATTGTGTATATCAATATATCATTTATCGGTATTGCCCAATATTGATTATTTTTTAATTATAATAAAAATATAAAACTGCACAATGTACCTGTAACTGCTATGTCAATATTTGTCAATAGTACAGTTTTTTTTTTTATTAGTATAGTATAGTATATTAAAATAATAGTAAATAATAGTTTTGTTTTTTTAAAGGGGTCATATGATGCTGCTAAAAAGAACATTATTTGGTGTAATGAAATGTGTTTATGTGGTTTAAGGTTCAAAAAACACATTATTTTTCACATACTGTACATTATTGTTTCTCCTCTATGCCCCGCCTTTCTGAAATGCGTCGATTTTTACAAAGCTCATCGGTCTGAAAAAGCGAGGTGTGCTGTGATTGGCCAGCTATCCAGTGCGTTGTGATTGGCCGAATACCTCAAGCGTGAGACGGAAATGTTACGCCCCACACATACGTTATGACACAAACGTCACGCAGGCTCTTTAGTTTCTCAAGTGAACTTTTTATCTACCTTTTTTCTTATTCTCCTCCTTCGTCCATTTACAGATCAGCGTTTGGACCTGAACAAGTTGGGGCCCAATGACAGCGATACCGTGAGGGGACAGATAGTAGGTGAGTCACAAGCTTTGCTCGTTTCGAGGAATTGACCTGTCAGGAATTTGCTCTCCTTGCCACATCTGCCACTTATCCCATGAGTCACCCCAGCTTCAAAGCTTGTCATTAATGATGGTTAAACCCACACATTTACCTTTGACGCCCTAAAAACTTTGCTCGTTTGGGAGCAAAGGAGGAAAAAGGCACTCATTCTGTATGATTTATATGTTGCGTTTGGCTATTCCATTGCAATTTTCTTTCATGCTCTTAGAGCCGCATTGTTCCTTCATCAAGAAAGAGTTTTGTGTGGTGGTGATGTATTTGCGCCCCGGGTTGCATGTCCCGTAGCCACACCACAGTTTTTACAAGCAGCCATTCATCAGAAGATGAATGCTTTCCCATGGCTGAGAGTTTCAAACAACCCTCTTATATGTCTTCATGTCACGTCAAGATTTGCGTCACGTGTTTTGTTGAGTCACATGAATGTAAGCAAGCAGGTAGTTATTAACCCTAACCCTAAGGCAAGCTTTACTATTACTATAGCTTATGCTAAACACTTTGAACAAACCCCTAACTTTAAATATATCTCATTGCACACCATTTGTATTAGGGGTGGAACGGTTCTCGGTTAAAAATCGAACTGTGCCGTTCTGAATCCGTGCATTAACTTAAAGTGACAGCACTTTCTTAATGTTAATCAAACAACAAAAGACAAGGAAATCACTCACTGCTCTTGATTGAATAGCTTTTGTAACTTTAATAAGGATTAATCTTTAATTCATACAGTCAAATATGCAATGTTATTTTACATTTGATTACTTAATTCAATTTCTGTACCTAAAACTGTTAGACCTACCTAAAAAACCTGAAAAGCACTGTTAATTTTATTTGTATCTTTGCTCTATTGTATTTATTTGTGCTGTTGCTTGTAATTAGAGTTTGTTCTTATTTTCTTTATTTTTATTTGACAATATAGTCCTTTTTCCCTTAACATAGCACATATCGAACCGTACCGAAACGGTGACTCTAAAACCGTGATACGAACCGAACCGTGAGTAACTTGAACAGTTACACCCCTAATTTGTGTATTAAAAATGTATATATAAAATGTACACAATTGGCTATATTGGAGTCTGCCAGTATTAATTCTTTTTAAATTGATCTTTTAAAAAAATGCATGTTCTATATTTGTATCTGCCAGTATTATTTATTTGTTTGTTTGTTTTATTTAACCATTTAATTGTTTTTTTATTTAAAATTGATAATTCATTCAAAATGCTGCATCTGTATTGTATCCCAACAATATGGATTGAGTTTTAAATTGATTTCTTTTTAAATGCATGATCTATATCTGTATCTGCCAATAAGCGTTTTTTTATTACATTTAAAAAAAAAAATTTAATTGATAAATTCTAAAACAGTCTTAATTGGTGTCTGACAATATTACTATTGATAATTAATATTGATAATTAAAAATCTGTATTTGACAATATGGGTTAATAATGTTTTTTTTTTATTATTGATAATTTTTCATATTCCTTGATTTATATCAATATCTAATAATATTACACTTTTTGGTGTCTGCCAACATTTTTGATACATTTCAAAAACACACACATGCATACATGCATACACCCCAAAATGGCAAAATATCTATGCAATGCATGTCACTCATCTTGACATTTCTGTCACATAGTCTCTGTCGTTCCATGACACTAAAACCTTGCACAGATGGGACCCCTCTAACAGCCTGATTTTTTGTGTTTGTGTCAACAGTTAGTCTTCAGTCCAGGGACAGGATAGGCTCCGGAGGGCCAGTGGTGGACTGCAGTCGTCTGTTTGACAACGACCTGCCTGATGGGTACATGAAATATAACTCTTTAAAAGCAACTCTAAATGAGTGTTTAAAAATACAACAGTGATTAATCTTTAGCAGATACTGAACGGTAGCAGCCAACGTTCTTATCCAGCCCCTGTGTTTGTTCCTGCGCCATGTGCGTGTGTCTGTCTGTCTGTTTGTTCGTCTGTATGAATGTCTCTTTGTGTTCTTTCTGCAGCTGGGAGGAGAGGAGAACTGCATCTGGCCGGATCCAGTATCTGAATCATATCACACGCAGCACCCAATGGGAGAGACCTACTAGGTGGGATCAGGTTTCCTTTGTTGTAGTCCAGTTCACTTTTAATTTTTTTATTTCTATTTCTATTTTTATTGTAATTTGTTTTTATTATATATATTTTTTTTTAATTTTACTTTTAATTTGATTTATTTTAATTTGATTTAAAAAAATTATTGTAGTTATTTATTTATTTTTTTTTTAGTTTATTTTATTTTACTTATTCAATTCAGTTTTATTTTAATTTATTTTAATTAAATTTATTTTTGTTTTACTTTTTTTGTTATTTGCATTATTGTATTTTTTCTTTTTTAGTTTGGTTAGATATCCAAATGGTTTGCAGACTGAAATAAAGTCTTGTAGGATAACGGCATTTTGGCTTGCCTAAATTACTGTCCAGGTCAATGAGTTTAAAGTGGTTTTGCTGAATAGGATGGTGATTTTTGTGTATGAGTACCCATGTACCGCACAACAGGAAAATGTTTATCCAGAACACAGCTGAAAGATACAAAGCCATGTCAGGAAGCATCCCCACTTCATGAATTTTTAAGGAAACACTAAACATAAAGACCAAGAAACATTCCAGGCAACATTCCTAGACGAAGATCTAGAAAAAATGTTGGTCTGGACTGCGTTTCCCAAATGTTTTGGTCTTTACGATCTGCTTATGCTTACGATGCATTTGGGAAAACTCAGCCCGGGACAGCAAGGACAGCGTCTCCAACACCAATGAATAAACCTCAAATAATAGAAGGCGTGTGAAAACATTTTTTTCATTCAGTGTATTTAGGGTGCATAAAATGCTAGCAATAAAATTAGCCGCCAGTTTATTCCAAATACTGAGCCAAAAGTGCCCATAGTTTAAGAAACACCCATATACTCTTTTGTTTCTACTCTACAGTCTCTGTTTTTCTAGTCTTTCCTCAAGACGTTACCATATACCTGTGGGGATTTAGTTCAATTCAGCCATAAGCACGTTAGTGAGGTTGTGTGTCGACACTGGCCGACTAGTCCTAGTGTGCCAAGGAAGCTATTAAAAACATCGTTTTCATACCGACTTTGTTTCCAAAGGCCGTTTTGATGTGTTGAAACCATGTGGAACAGAGGGAATATTGAAAGCGAGTACAGGCTGTGTTTATGCGCTACATGATTCAGCACTCTGTCCTCGTTCGGTGAGCTCGTGTTGCCAGACGCTTCACGGCTGAGCTGCTGTTACACTTAGATGTTTTCACTTCACAATAACAGCACTTACGGTCAACCTGGGCAGCTGGAGCCGGACAGAAATTCACTCCCTTGTTTGGAGAGGTTGCAGGTCTGTGACTTTGTCACGTTGAAAGTCACTCAGCTCCTCACGACGCTGCTTGCCAGTGTTTGTCTACGGAGACTGCAGGGCGCTGACACAGTTACATTATTCATTTAGTATCCAAAGCACCTGTACATTTTGTACTTCTGAGATTTGAACCTCACACCAAATGGTCACACTATTGTGTGCTTGGGTTTCCACAGCTAATACCTGTTTGTGCTGTTTTAATATCAATCTGTAACCCAGCAGAGCAACCAAATTGTTACATGGTCCTTCTGAAACAACAGCATAAACCAGCCTAAGATGGTTTGCTGGTTTTAGTCTGGTCTGTTGGCAGGTTTTAGAGGGATATTGGGATGTTTTTCAGCTAGTCAAACTAGGTTCAAACCAGCTTATTTTATTTGGTTTTAAAACTATGTTCTAAATGGTTTTTGCATTTTTTGTTAGAGATCCAAATGGTTTGCAGACTGAAATAAAGTCTTGTAGTATCAAGGCATTTTGGCTTGACTAAATTACTGTCCAGGTCATTGGGTTTGACGTGGTTTTGTTGGATAGGACAGACTAGCCTAAGCTGGCTTGCTGGTCTTAGTCTGATCTGTTGGTTTGTTTTAATGTTTTTGATGTTTTTTTTTAGTTGGTCGAGCTAATCGCCAACTTAGCCAGTCTCGGAGACCATTTTAAACCAGTTAAGACCAGCAAACCAACCTAGGCTGGTCTAATAATTTATTTATTTATTTTGCCAGCAAAGTTCAAACCATTTGGAAATGGCCATGGAAATAGACTTGATTCCAATTTGTAATTTCAGAAAAAAACTCAATCTGAAAACTAGAAGGTGTTTTCAAGAACTAAGATTTATTTCTTTTAAAAATGCATCGTAATCTTCAGTTCGTTTGACTTTCACATGTACATTTTACTTACACATTTAGCACACACTTTTATTTAAGGGACTCAAAACTTTTTTGCATACGAAACTTTGCTTGGGAATTCAACCCATGACCCTAATGTTGCTAGCACCAAACATTTGAACTATTTTAATGTTGTCTGTTGTCCCTCATGTTCTCATTTCCTCTTTCACACAAAGGCCTGCATCCGAGTACTCGAGCCCCGGCCGGCCACTCAGCTGCCTGGTGGATGAGAACACGCCCATCATGACGCCCAACGGGGCAGCAGTCGTACCTGCAGATGACCCCCGGGTGCAGGAGCGGAGGGTTCGCTCTCAGAGACACAGAAACTACATGAGCAGAACTCACCTACACACACCGCCCGACCTGCCTGAGGGATACGGTTCGTTCAAACACACACACACACACGCATCAGTTCCATTAATACTGGCCAGCTTGCAAAGGTCAAAAATACACCCTGCAACATCTCACACACGCGCACTTGCGCTGGAAATTTGTGCTGCAGCTAGAGTAATTAAAACGTCTCTTGAGCTTTAGAAAAGGAACTCGTCTGAAATCTCTCCGACGTGCCATCAGCGCCAGCTGCAGGGTCAGACGGGTGACCTGGAAATCCCGCTGTGTCTGTGTGCATGTGTGTGAGTCTGTGGAGAGATTCAGGGGGCAGAGGTTATAGAAACAGGTTAAACAGAGCTCTGTATGCACTCCTCTGCTCAAGTAGCTGAATGTGGGTCTGTAGACATGGGATGCAGGTCAAGTACTTGTGGGCTGGGTGATATATCAATATACGTCATAATTAAATTCACTATCAGTAATAAACTTTCAAGTATTTTCCCGCTATTTAGCCTACATCTTGACGATTTGGTTTGTGAGTGGCTACAGTTTCGTCTGCTTTACATACTCAAGTACATGTGATGGCCTTAGTGTTTTCATCGTCTGCAGTTTCATGAATTTCATCTCCAGAGCTGCTCTGAGAGTTCACAAACATTTCACCAATTTATTTGGTAAAACAATCTGAAAATACACACAGAAACTCAAAGGTCTTCAGGACAAACCACCAGATTAAAAGCTTGGTTTAACTTGGAAGTCATTGACAAAAGTGTATTGCTGTTATATAGTAGAATGTACTTTTTAATGTAATAATAATAAATGCAATGTTTTACTAAATTGCATTATTAATAATTATTCTATTAATATTTTGTATTAAGGAAAATCATGCAACCAAGATATTTCTTCGTCCGTTTTAATTTATACAGTATATAATTATGTAAATAAATTATATAGTTCTGTAAATAAAAATGCAATGTTTTTTTGTAAATTATTTGTTATATTTTAAAAGATTAATTAAATTGTTAACATGCTATGAATTCCTTTCATTAGACAACATAAAATTTAGCCATTGTTGATCATATTTAGCCATTATTTTCTCTTAATGTTGATTAATTAATTTTTTTTTTATTATTTACCTTTATTTAACCAGGAAATTAAAAACTCTTGAGATTTAAAATCTCATTTACAAGAGGGTCCTGGCCAAGATAGGCAGCACATTTAGTTACACGTAAAACAAAATACATTTGTTTACATACACAGAAACATACACAAATCACTCAAAACATTTACAAATTTGTGTGATGTGGTCATAGTTTACAGTGATGGATCAGATAGGTATGCGGTGAATCAAACTGAAAATAAAAGAATGAAGAAAGTATTACTTCTGTGCACACACGAACACACATAAGCTTATAAACAATGATTGCATTCAAGCCTCTTGTCATTTTTTTCACATTGTGAATGACCGATGGTGCCCCCTGGTGTTTGTTCACAGAGCAAAGGACCACGCAGCAGGGTCAGGTGTACTTCCTGCACACGCAGACGGGCGTCAGCACATGGCACGACCCCAGAGTGCCCAGGTACCTCCTTTACCTTTGTGTATTTTGCATGTTTATTACTTAACTTTATTATTTAACTTCTATTTTACACTGGATTTGTTTGGAAACTTGTGCCTTGTCCTAACCAAATGCGATGCATGAAGTAATTTTTTGTGATAAAATCAAAACATTAATGTGGAATATATAGGTATGGTTTTTTGACCAATGAGATATTACTATGTGCAAAAAAAAAAAATGTCTGGAAGCTCAATGCTGTTAACTGGTTTGGACAAAAGCTGAGAAGACATGAACTTGGAGAAACTAGGAAATATGCGGCGACCATTTAGCCACTTTTTGTGTAGGGAAAGCTGCTTGTCATTTATCTGAGAACAGAACATGATTGAAAAAATGAGGGTGGGCTACGGGTTATTTTTCTAGTCTGTTGAGAGTTGACATTGAGCATTTTTTTGCAGTGCTGCACATTTTTTGGTTTGGCAGAAGCCTGAAAGCAACATCCCTGGAGTTTGTTTTGTCTCGTGTTTTTTTTTTTTTTTTTTTTTTTTTTTTTTACTTTGTCATTTTGATCTTTGTTTTGTCTGTTTTCTCACTTTGTTCTTGTTGTTTTTGTCTTCCCCTCCACACGTTTACTTGAACTTCAGTCTAAGGAGCATGTTAAAATATAGTTAAACTATATTTTAGTGCTGTTTTATGAATACTAGGCATATTCATTTCCACCAATATCATTTCCACTATCATGATTATCGTGATATAAATCATTTTCACAAAGAATATTGAAATAGTTTTTATGTTAATCGAATGTTTTTCAAATATTAATACATTTACCCCCGGTTTCACAGACGAGGCTTAAGCCTAGTCCCAGACTAAAGTGTAAGTCTGAGCTGTTTTAACTGAAAGAAACTTGCACTGACTGATCTTAAAATATATCAGTGCCTCTGTTTTGTCTCAAAATGCACACCAGTAATGTTTCTTCTAAGGCACGTTAATAAAAATTACTTAAATGTCCTAATTAAACTATTGCCTAGTCCTGGCTTAGTCTAAACCATGTCTGTGAAACCAGGCCTTAATGTGTCCTACATATTTAGAAAAAAAGCAATAAATAATCATTTTAATTAAATAATAAAATAAAAAATCATTAACCTATAATAGGGCTGTTGCAATTCGTCGATTTTATTAGACTATTCGATTTCAAAAAATCCTCTACTTCATTTTGCTTGCGTCGACTAACCGGCAAAATACCGGCTGTAATAATGCGAATTATTTGCGATGCAGTTCTAATACAGTATATGTGCTTTAATTATTTACATGCGTGTAGGTTAAGTACGTGCGTCACACAGTGGCTCCGTTCACAGTAGTTCCACAGGAACTGTTATCATTTACATGTGTGGAGCGTCTCAAACTCCATCTCTGCATGTTGTTGTGAGTTTGGGTTTATTATAACGTTCATCTGGGAACACAACATGCGCCATTTCATCAGATTTGTAAGGTAAATCATTTATAAATCTATGCAAAC